GTGTGGGAGACCTGGTTTCAATCCCTGGGTTGGGAAGATCCTCTAGAGGAGGGCATGTCAACCCACTCCAGTATTCTTGCCTGGAGAATCCCATGGACAGAGAAGCCTGGTTGGGCTACAGTCTAGAGGGTCACAAAGTCGGACAAGACTAAGTGACTAAACACAGCATAGATCTGGACAACGCTGCACTCCAAACTCTAGACTGATGACCCAAAGGCTTCTGTAGCATTGTCTTTTGCTTGTTCAACAAATAGAAAATTGATATCTCTTTTAGCTTTCTATCTTATGGTGTTGCATCAATTCCAATGTGCAAATAAGTAGCCCTGCAATTCTGCATTCTTCATATGTAGGTTCACTAGAAATAGGCACTGAAGACTTTCAAGTGTATATTTCCAGTGGACCAAAATACATGGCCTGTGACTCTCTGAGGAATTATAGAATAAGTGGTCCCTTCATTTCTTCACTAAATATAGCAGAGCTAAGCTGTTTCTTCTGTAGTGGTCACTATAGTTCTAATTTTTCATTAACTTAGGTGGGGAATTTTCAACACCTTGTATAATAATATATCTTAGAATTGCTGCTAAGTCGCTTCAGTCGTGTCCAACTCTGTGTAACCCCATAGACGGCAGCCCACCAGGCTCTGCCGTCCCTGGATTAGCACCTCTAAAAATGTTCTTAACCTTGCATAAGTCAGTTTACAATCAATCTTACAACTTGATTTTAAGGATCATTGTTTTATAAAGTTCTCGGCACTCTTTTGTACACTTTACTATGTGGCATTTTAAAAAAAATTGTTTTTCCCTTATTACTTTCTTTTTATGTTTAAAATGTATTAGCATTTCAAAGACTCCATTATTTCTTCAAGTATACAAAGACTGAATAGCCCTTATAAAATGTATGGAAATGTTCAACCATGATTGCTTTTAAAAAAGAGAGTACAGTCCACTGATCTACAGTTCCTGCATTCACAGGTTAGTATGTATCAGGATTAAATTGGGTCAATGGACCATGAACAACTTGTACCATTACAGGTACAAAAGGGCTATTATCATCTTCAGGACAAGACACAAAATGTAAAAATAAAGGCAAAAAGAGAGCTTACTTATCTATAATCTTTAGGTTGTCTAAAACCAACAATGTTTTTGTTAGTTTCATCTAGAAATGCTCCCAGATTAAGTTAAAATTTTATTTAGATGTCTTACTAACCTTCACAATGACTATATCTGCTTTCACTAACTGCAATTGTCACAGCAGAGGTCAGTTATTAGGACACATGAAAACTAAATACCAGAAGTGCAGCAGGAAGACACTATGTCTGCAGTAGCATAAAGACGATGAAAGTTCGAGAACTGAAGTGAGTGCCCTGTAGATTCTGAACTCCCTGGTGCTTGTTACTCTCTAATAATCAGTTTGATGTTTACAGGAGATTCATGTACTATTTCAGGTCACCTTACCAATAAGTGTATTCCTTTAAAATGGATAGAAAGAGAAATGGCTCCTCCCTAAAATCTCTAATTTAGCATCTTGGAATAACTTCTCATCTGGGACACTGGGTCAAAACCTGGAATACTGCAGAAATGTGACATGGTAGCAAATATATCTTAAAACATCAGATGAAGTCCTGTGGATTCCATGTTAAGGAACCAAAGCAGTCAATTAAAAACATGTCTCTGTTGGCATTTGTTAAAAAAAAAAAAGTCACAAAGACCTTGGCTGTTTTAGGAAACTGGTGTGATGTAAACATGTTTTATGGGGCTGCTTTTTTTACTAGTTGTGCTCAGGGAGCAAAGTGGCTGGTTGCAAACTTTTTCTTTCATTCATCATTGTCAAACAAGATAATAGTATTGCCGATTAGCTGTATTTTACTGGCAATAGCTGTAAAGATACATTAGCTGTATCTTTAACATGTATCCTCGAATTCCTATAAGTTTCATGTAAACAGAAGGTCTATTCATATGCATTACTTTACTTAACAAGTACTTATTGAGCACACTTATACGTAAGAGCAGAGAAAGATTTCATAGATTTGGAAGCAACTGTCATCAAAAAGCTTACAATTTAGTAGGAAAGGCAACAGTAATTATACAAACTATATTTCTCAAAAAATTATCCAGTGGCTTTATTTTAAAATTAAAATTTTCCAAAAGAATATAAATGTTTTTGGAGATCCTATAACTTTGATTCACAGTCTCCTTATATATTTCATGAATAATTTCAGGAATAGGGGAATAGTTACTTTTACTATGCTCTCAGCCTATTTTATGAAAGGTCCAATGTTTACAAATGTCTATGAACTTTTTAACAAAATATACAAGAAATTTGAAAGCATTTTAATATTTGCATGACATTTTTAAAATTAATTGCTATATTTTAAATTTAAATTTACAACTAAGCTCTAAAGATGTTTACATGGACCTCATATTTTATCCATGTCAATCTTTTACAAAGTAATTTTTAATAATAAAAATTCTATTATATTATGATAAACCTGTAAACTTTTCATTTATTCAGAGAGTTAAGTGAATTGGTACTGTCATTTGAACTTTGGTCATTCACACCAGAAACAATTTTCCAAGCATTATTTCTTCACCTGTTAAATAAAATTATTATCACTGTAATTATCTTAATTAGCCTCACAAGTTTGGAGTAGCAATTAGCAAGGGAAGACATCAACTTTTCTCAGGAGCATTATCAGGTTTTCCCTCCCCGGAGGCTAGCTTCCTGTACTAATTTTCAGCTCTTAGAAACTGCTTTACTTCTGGAAATCTCCTTACATCATTGAAATAGTGCTTGATAGTTTCATATAAATAGTATTTGTGGATTGTGTTTGTTTTGCATTTCTGTTTTTTCTTCTCTCAGGTTGGCTATTCCCCAAACAAACTGAGATAAATAAGTTTATTCTAAGCATTGTCAGTTCAAAGCTATAGAAAATGAAGCTTCAATTCCCAGATCTACTGCTTTGTTTGATCAGGCTATTTTCAAAAATTTTATACACCTGTTTTATGTGTTTGTTTTCTTCTCTGTGTGTGCCCTTTGTATTTTGGGAAGCAGTCAGAGTGCTCCTAACATGATGGTATACTTGCTAAAATTATCACTTTCTCCAAAATATTGCTTTCCCTTCTACAGAAAGTTTCTCATGCAGATAAGCCGCAGTTACCAAAGAGTCATGTCTAAGTCATGAAAAATTCCACACCAGTAGCTATTACATTGAGGGTAAAAACCTCTGTGGATGGCAGACCTCTGTGGGAAGTAAAATGTCAAAGTGGGCTATCTACTTGCATCCTCAGGAAGAGTCTGTTTGAGAAGGAAATTTCTCATAAAACACACCTGATCTCTTCCTAGTTAACTGTTATCACAGGAGTTAATGAGTGAAACGGGCAAAGCATAAACTGTATAACATGGAGGACTCACCTTCAGCCCAAAAGGTTTGCTACTGCTCTGTTGGGTGTTGACAGATCTCCCTACGTTTTCAAAAGAAGTCAGAAATCTAGAATTGTATTCCAAATCTTTCAAAATTTTAAATTGTGACAACTAAGTCAAATAAATGCAAAACACTGTGGAAGGTAAAACAAACACAACCATGACAGTGGCCAGTTTGAAACTAGCAACCTTGCTCCTTTAATGTCTATATCTGAATTGAGGAAAAGGAAAACAAACTAAATTCCCAAGCTATTGATTTCTGGGTTGTGCATAAAACAGTGCACAAACAAAAGTGTGTGAATCAGGAAATTGACTTAAACACAGGCTCCCTTTTCTCTTCTGCATCTCATTCAATTCCCTCCTGATTGACCCCCCTTTCTGACCTCCATCCTTCTTGGTCCTTCCTAGGCTGTGTAATACTTAAAAGTACAGAGCCAAAAAAATATTCCTTTCTATCACCCTTTAGACTTGACAATTATTTTGGATATATAAAATAAATAATCAACAGTAATAACAAAGTATCCCAATATAGATGAGTTATACATTATATTTCACATTCTATCTCCTCCAAAACAATCTAATTAAGAGATATTATTGTTCCTGATGTTCAAAAGAGAATATGGAAATCTAAAGAAAGTAATACACTTGAGTAGGTTCCCTGGAGGATAAATGACTGAGCAGTGCTGGACCCTTATTTTCTGGCCCCAAATCCACTGTCTCTCTTCTCATTTTTCACAAAGGACTGAAGGGAAACAGTGAGGCAATGACCTGGATTATACTTTTGACTTTGTCTTCCGGAATAATGTGTCTTGTCTTAAATGTCCCTATAACTAACATCTCACCACTGGATTCCTTCAAGTTTATTCTAATTTTCTTTTAAACTATCTCCAAGTACATACAAATACAAATAAAGGGTGAGGTGGTTAACACTTGTGACTGTTTGGACCAAAGACTGGTTCTGTGGTTTGCAACCATTAGAAAAATTTATAGCATCTCTTTGGCAGGTCAAAAATGAATTCATTAAATTACTGCTTCAAAATAGAGTTACAATATCTTACAAAAGGGCCTAATGACCACATTTAGGAAAAAAAGAAAAGTTTACTCCTTTAAAAGTACCTATGTAAGCAATTTTATATCAAATTCAGGGTTATAATCTAAAATTATTGGTTGACATATACATGGGCTTCCCTCGTGGCTCAGACCGTAAAAGAATCTGCTTGCAGTGCAGGAGACCAGGGTTCGATCCCTGGGTCAGGAAGATCCCCTCAAGAAGGAAATGGCAACCCACTCAAGTACTGTTGCTGGAAAATCCCAGATGCAGAGGAGCCTGGCTGGCTGGCTACAGTGCATAGGGTCTCAAAAAGTTCAATGTGACTGAGTGACAGAGCATGCATGCGTAATTGTAGATGTAAATATAAACATACATCTATAAATACAACCATCCACAAGTATATACACACATATTTACATGCACAAAATAAGCACTTTGACTTCTAATTTAAGAGAAAATTGAATCCAATATTAATTTTGAAGGTTATTTTTTATGCCAAAGGGAATCTATGAAAGGCAAGCTTCTTTACCCAAATCGTGGGTCCACAGCAATGGCCCTGGGGTGCTCCATAGCTCCCGCGATGAGTGTAGTTCTTAACGACCCGTCTAGTTTGGCCACTTCGATTTGGTCCAGATTGCTGTCTATCCAGTATATGTTGCCTGCTATCCAGTCAACAGTCAGCCCTTCTGGGGTAGCCAGGCCATGTTCCACAACCACTTCAATAGCAGTGACACCTACAAAAAGAGAGAAACCAACACTTGCATCCATTCAAGTGACCCATTACGCACTAAGGAAAAGGCGTCCTTAACAGCAGTATGAAGTATTTAATATTATATGAACTTTGAGAGATATAGTGTGAAAGTGTTACTGGACACAGAAATTAAGATGGCCCCAAATTTAGAATTAATGATACTTCCCAGGAAAGATTTTTAATCTCTTAAATCCTTTCAGTGACAGCATCTCAGAATTTTTAAACAACACTGAGGCTAATAACAATGTTTAGGTTGCAAAAAAGTTAAGTCGTGTTTCTGATTTTTTAGGCAGAAGAAGGAATTTTGGAAATGATAATGACTTGCTAGTTAAAATCAGTGAAATGTAATTCAAACACTGATCTTCAGAGTAGAATAAAAAGTCCACCTAGGGAAAAAAAAAAGTCCACCTAGGGCAATCTGCATTTAGCCAGTCAGCAGCTACTCTTTTTGAAAGCATGACTGAAAAGATCGATGTTATAGCATTTAGCCTTAAAAATAATCCTCAAATTATACCCCTCACAGATTTCTGAGCAAATATAACATTTCTGACTTGTATTTTGACTTGCAGAATATAGCATGTTTGAAAATAAAGGAAGAAGCCTGTAGTGTGGTCTTAATAAAAATAAACATTTGGGTAATACCCAGAACTATTTTTATTTATGTCCTTCATTTCTTTTGGAATTAACACTTTATAACTTAAGACATTGCCAGTGCTTTTGTTAGACATGTTAATAGTGCATTTTTTTTAACAGTTAGCTATGTAAAATTATGGATCTAAACCCGTCATTTGAAGTTGAAATTGATACTTTATAATATAATACAAGACACAGATTCACACAACATAATTACATTGTGTTTGAACACTACATTTTTCCAAAATTGTAATGGTGATTTAAGGAGGAATTTAGATTTTGATAGAAATACCTGGCCTTTGGAATGTTATACAGATCTGAGATTTTCAAGAGAATTATGACATATATTTATCTCAAGGTCTTGCTCTTTAAGGAAAGCCTAGATTGGATAAAGAGATGCCAAATTATGGGAAAACTTATTTAGCTTATATTAATAATCTTTGTAATAATTTATAATTTCTTTGAATGATGCTAGAAGATGAAAACCATAAAGAAAAACAAAAGCTATTTTAACTCACAAAAATTATGTATAGTAATTAGAAGACAGTCATTTTTCTCTTGTTAATAAACTTCACTATTGAACATGCATCAAAATGCTCACAATTTGAAAATGGTGTGAATAGTATAGGCCTTCATCCCCCTCCAACATATCATCACACATACTTCACACCCTTGGATTTCCATATATAGGGAGAAGATAAAANTTTTTTTATTCCTTGAAGTTTCACACACCTGATTCTGATTTTAAAATAGAAGAATTGCTCAATTACAAGACAAAGTGTGAGATTTTCTGTTTTAGTGTAGTTTAAGCTGACAGTTCAAACTTTAGAAATATCATCATAGAAATTTCTAAGTGAATAAAACTAACTCTGTCACTTTTAGCTCATCACAGGACTCTAGATTCACAAAGGAGAGAGCACCAACAAAAAACTTCTATGAAGAGAATTACTGGGCTTATAATTAGGAAGATGGCGGCTTTCTATAAAACCCAAGAAAATCATATATATAACTTTTCCCTCACTAATTTTTTAATCCTGGGCCAGGCCTGGAAGAAAGAGAAGAAGCTTTGAAAACAGATATGAGATTAAAGTTTTATATTTTTGTACACAAAAAGAATGTTTTAATACTCGAAAGTTACTAAAATTACTTTACCATTTTGAAATGGATCAAGTCCTACACTGTTGGACATACTATGTGTCAGACACGGATTCTGCTTTATAAATATACATTTTGAGGGAGGGACCCAGGCTCAGTAAGATTTCTGTTTCCATGTTACTGTCAACCTTTTATGCTTTTTTTTAGGGAACCTGGTTTTCCTATCCCAAGTCTATACATGTTTGTGAATGTGAGCTATAATCACTCCTGGCCACAATGGTTGGCCTAAGAGGTGGATATAAGATCTAAGTCAGGAAGATGGGTTTTTAAACTTCCAGAGAATTTTTCAAGTTGAGGAGAAAGAGTTTCTTTTCAGATTTCTCGGCCTAATATTGTCTGTTCATGTCCTTGTACTTTAAGTCTACTTGTAGTAATGTAGGAAAGGAGAAAATAAGACTCAGAAACAGAAATTGATGACCAGGAGAAAGACCATATCCTAAGGACATTCAAACCTATGGTGCCAATTTTCCCTAAGACCACCTCCTTTCTTCAAATACCCTCTGCAAATACCCTTAACTCAATTGACTTCATTTGAACTGGATTTTTGTCAACTGTAACCAGGTATACTGTTCTTATTATGTATGTGTTAGTTGCTCAGTCATGTCCAACTCTTTGTGAGCCCATGGACGGTAACAAGCCAGGCTCCTCTGTTGAAGAGATTTCCCAGGCAAGAATACTCGAGTGGATTGCCATTTCCTTCTCCAGGGGATCTTCCAAACCCTGGGATCGAACCCAGGTCTCCTACACACCAGGCAGATTCTTTACCATCTGAGTCACCAGGAAAGTCACTTTGACTTCTTATTAATCTCATTTCCTCAGAGATGGCTTCCCTGATCAGTTACCTAATAAAATCACATCTTCATTATTCTATTTCACTACAGCCTGTTTATTCTGTTTAGAGTACAATTTAAAATCAGTGTTTCCATGTTTGCTATTGCTCTTACTCACTGGATTATACACTCTTTTAAACAAGGATCTTGTCAGTCTCACTCATTATGCTGTCCCTAACATCTAGATTCAGATAAGACATAATACACACCAGGTCTCAGACTAGAAGGTGAAGGCTGCCCTTCATGTAGAAGAGTCACTGGCGATTTTTTTCACTGGAGATGAATCTACTTTAGGGAGCTCTTCCCAGCACATTAAATAAATGTGTTTGGGTGATTAAATGTGGAGAGACATGAATTTATCTTAAGAGACTATCTGACAGCTAGCATGGGAGAGAACTGCCACAATCAGCAGAACCTAATCTGCTGATCACAATCAGCCTACCTGACCTGATGCTGATCATACAATATAAGCAAGACCAGCCAAGACCATAAGAACAGTCCAGAAGTCCTGAAAACCTGTGAGCAGAAATTACGTATTTGATTATGATCACAAAAGTATTATGGTTATTTATTGCACAGTATTGTGATGTTTATTGCACAACATTACTGTGATAAAATCTAAATGATAGAAGATAACAAAACTGAAAAATAATTAGTTCCAGAAAGGTCCCAATAGAATAAATACTCATAAAATTTAAAATCCAGGATTTAGTATTTTTAAAATTAAAAAAAAAATGATTGTTTTATATGAATAAACCTTGCTTGATAAACTGCTTTGGCTATGAAACAAGTGTTAGCTTAGAAACATTCTTTATATTTTCAATAATTAAATTTCTTTACCTGTAAAATGAGTTCACAATAATCACCTTTCAATATAACTTAAACTGCTGCTATCAGAATCCAATTATATTAAGTATGCAAATTAGCTCAGTTGGTAAAGAATCTGCCTGCAATGCAGGAGACCCTGGTTCAATTCCTAAGTCGAGAAGATTCACTGGAGAAGGGATAGGCTACCCACTCCAGTATTCTTGGGCTTCCCTTGTGACTCAGCTGGTATATAATCTGCCTGCAATGCAGGAAACCTGGGTTCAATCCCTGGATTGGGAAGATCCCATGGAGAAGGAAAGCCTACCTACTCCAATATTCTGGCCTGGAGAATTCCATGGACTGTATGGTCCATGGGGTTGCAAGGAGTTGGACACGACTGAGCAGCTTTCACTTCACTTCACTTCAAGCACATTTGCTTTATAAGCTGACAATCATCACAGTAAATACAAATGTGACAAAATGTGATGCAGTCAAAAGTAATAAACTTGGAGTCAGAAACTGTTGGTTTAAGATAGAGTCTTGTCAACTAGCTGTATAAATATGAGAAATTTACTAAGACTCTCTGATCCTCAGTAGTTTTTGAAAAAAATTGTAAAGTATATTACATATTGAGTTATCAGGATAATTGAGGATTAAAAGTGTAAATATTTAATATCTTAATAAACATTTAATAATTACTACAACTATTCAGTTTTAGAAATCAAAGAAATAAGCAAAACAGATACCGAGTAAGAGAAAAGGCAGAATGATAACAAAGTAAAACAGTCAGATATTTCCTAGCACGTGCTGAAGCTAGGGGCATTACAACCCTGAAGAGCCTTTCCTTCCTGTGGTTTATAGTCTTACTTAAGCAGTAAGTTACACGGCAGCAACTACTTGTGAGAGAAGTTTACATTGAATACTGTTAAAGGACATGCAGTTTTTAAATCACAGAGTGGCTACTTCATCAAAGTATCTACTGTTGTTTTTTATACATAAATGCATGTGTGCAATCTAATCATAATCTAAAATCTAGCATCATGTTTAAAGGAGAATCTCTGAAAGCAATCCCACTAGAGTGAGGTAAAAGATCAGGATGTCCACTAACGTTTCATCTTTCTGAAAGTTTTAAATGATGTAGACAAGTGAGAATATGTGTATAAGTTCAGTAGCACAGTCACGTCTGACTCTTTACAACCCCATGTACTGTAGCCTGCCAGATTTCTCTGTCCATGAGATTTTCCTGCCAAGAATACTAGAGTGAGTTTCCATTTCCTCCTCCAAAGGGATCTTCCTGACCCCAGGATCAAACTCTCATCTCCTGCGTCTCCTGCATTGCGGGCGGATTCTTTACTTCTGAGCCACCAGGAAGCCCCAGGCAAGAACAAGAAGAAGCAAAAAGTGGAAAGGAGGTGCTAAAAATAAACTACTATTTACAAGTTAAAAAAAAAAATGACACTTGGAAAATTTAGGATAATCAACTGACAAAACTACAACAGAAGAGAAAGAGAATTCAGTAATAAATGTTTGGGACAAAATTTTAGAAAAAATCACTAGC